ACATTAAGCACCATAAAATAGTTGTATTTCGAGTTCCAGGGTAAGGATAAAATGTAATGCAAGGAGAAAGATTGAACAATATAACGTTCAATGAAACCATTTGAATAAGTTTTCGGAGTATCTCTTATAATACAGAATGTATGCAGATGAAAGCAAGAGGTACTTATGTTTCGCGGAAATGTTTGCAGATATCTCGGATTCTTAATAATCAAGAACCCTAGTTGGTAGTCGCGAATCTTAAATACTCTCATTTAGTAAAACGTATAAACCCAATCGAATATTGAGTCTTGTACCTGAACCTATTTATTAACCCCACCTATGTTTTACGATTAACTTATTTAAACCTATTGGTGAATACTTATAGTGTTTATAATTCTATAATTCTCATTAGGCTCATTCTGATCCTCATAAAATTCATTACATCGATTTAGGTTTATCAGGCGTCTCTCATTGCATTTAAACGTAGGAATAAGAACCTCATTTTAAGCATGTTTTGATTATACTTCAAAGTTATCTGAATCTTTCGAAGTTAAAGAGAAGTACACCTTGATTGCTACTCCACTGGAAACTGACCTACATTTTTGAAATTATTTAAAAACGTCTTCTGCAATTTGCTCACATGTAAATTTCGAGTTATTTACATTAGGTCATTTAGAGTAGAAGTTCTAAAACGGACGACAGTCATGTATTTATTTGGAATACTTTTTCCAAAACTGTTTAGATGTTACTCTTTTTATAGGTATCCAGTTAGCTTAAATTGTGTACCGCTATAATGTTATCTCTACTACTTTGAAAAATCAATATATAACGGATCTTTTTTCCAAGCTGACTCTACGTTGTAGCAGAAAAGTATATCCCTAAAATCAGTAGCTCTGTAAGTCTCCGACATTTGATGTGGCGCTCGGTCAGGCCTTCGCACCAAATCACGAGTGTGAACGCTGTGCTCAACTTCCCCTGAAATAATTAGCCAGTTTAGACGAGTTTATTCTCGATATGCTGATAAGCTTTCAAACACATCTTCGAACCTCTCGGCTTCTGACTTTCGATTTCACTGAATGGACACGTTTCAATTATAGTTGTTTTCAGTTCAAGCGTTGTCAAACCCCGAATACTTGCGGTGTCTTCATGATTATATTAATTTTCTCTTTTTCTAGGTTCGTTCATACAATATCTATTTGTTTGGAATCTCTGTTCCTCCTCTTCATTTCAATCTAATTTCTACTTGTTCATAGTGTTGTGAATAATGATGAATTTCACATCTTTCTAACCTTATTTAATTTAGTCTGAGATTGGTTCAGGAATGAGTTATTATTATTATCTAATGGGCTAAAATATGAACTGCATTGTCATATCACTGCAACGAAATTCGGAAATGGATCGTTGTTTTGTGGAAATTAAATTCACTGAATAAGATAATTAAGAGGGATAGCTTCTATTATAATCACCACATCATTCATAAGGCAGGACTGACGTAAATATGAGCCTAAAAATAAATATGTTGACGTTCGTCCACATATATTCAGTGGTTTGAAGATTATTATTCAATTAAATTACACTAATTATAACAATTCGCTTTTTCATATTAGTCACAAAGAAATTGTTTATTTGACTTAAACGGTCGGGTATTGAATATACTATTCTAGATCACTGTCGTCAGTCGACCTTGGCGTGGTTTTCAACAAGGCTCGTAATTGATGTTTTCAATGTGTTCATTTAGTCATCTAATAAGTTTCATCATTGTTTTTTTCCGAATCACTGAAGTAGCTTAATAAAAAGACACTACTGATGTTACTTCTTAGCAATGGACGTGAAACTCTCACTTTAACGTCCAAGCCCATGTTATGTTCAGACTTTCTGGAGCAGGTCAGTCTCTCACATGCTAAGATGTAAGGAGGATTAATTGAGCCTAAGGATTGTGTTGATTCCTACACAAATCGTCCGAATCACGCGTGCGTTTCGAATAAGTGATTTCGTACGTATTAATAGATGAGTATGATTTTGTATTTTTATTGCGTCAAAATGATATTTGGTCTACCTTAACTTTCATTATTTCGGTTAGACTTTGTAATTCTGTTTTGATCTGCTGTACGGTACGTTTTCATGCTGATTATCACACTAGTGGTTACTTTGTGTATTTCGTCGACTTTTCCCTTTTAAATCCTGCCAAAATGGTCGACTCAACTCATAAATGTTGGCATTGAAACAGGTTTTTCTCTGTAGATAGAGGGATGCAATGTGATGAGCGCAAAAACTGGTCATGCAAAATTTATACCAGTTTCAATCCCATTGTATACGATGTATGCGTGAAACCTAACTCCCACTGTCTCTATATGTTTTACTGTTCGACCTAGACGCTACAGATTCAAAAGGGAATTAACATTTTGCGTTGACCATCAATAAGGTTGATAATAGTTTGACTAGTAACATGAGTACTGACAGCGAAGAGTGTCTGTGTAATGAGTGCTGTTACTGGATGACCTAAACACCCGAAAAGTGAAATACTGCTGGATATTGTTGGTTGCGATTTTAAAGAAGCACCTTAGGATCCAGGTAAGTAGTCCCGATGTAACTGTCCTGACCTATGGAAACTGAAAAAGAAAACAGCCATATAAAACACCTGTTTCGTTGATAAGTTTTTGGCAGACTCACATGCTGAGTCACTGAATACTCTACCATATCTCAAAGTAAGTTTGAACAGCATGATTGAAAAAAATTCGATCTCACCGCATATTATTTGAAGTAATTTGCCCATAAACATCTAAATAAAAGCTCTCAGTCAGGAAACGACAGCGCTATAGGAAGCCGTAAACTCGACTTTCAAAGAAGTCGATTCCGTTCATCGTTTAATTTGGAATATAAAGGATTCAAAAGTAAATGACTACTAAAAGGCGTGCACACGACCTTAAGTTAGTAGATTCTGCCATCAGTAAAGTACTACTAAAAGAAGTTTTAAGCAGTACATATTACTAAAGTAATAAGACTCAGTAGATGGGTCGGGTTCGAGACTCAATCAAGAAGGTTCTTGAAGTAGCACTTGAAATTTTGAGGTTAACGGAAGTTGTACTAAATAACATTCAGAACTCGTGGTCCGAATATTCGTATCCAACCATATTAGTCACTTAAGGATCGAATCAAGTGGTGGAGCGCCCTTACTGAGTTAAAAACGTGGGAAAAAAACGTTTTCATTTATTATTATTCAAATAATAGATAAAAACGTGGAAGTGAAATGACGAAACAAACTGTAAGATTAAAGGTTTTCGGGTCGTCAAGTTTTGAGAGAAAATGCTCCCGAGATCTTCATGAATAGAGCGACTGATCCTAAAAGTACCTTAAATGCGTGCTACACAAGTCTTCATAGTCTTAGAAATAAAACATCCTAGGTCATTTTGATGTTGGGTTAATTAAGTGTCGATATAATTCTTTTCAAAGGAATGTGGCTCATGTTAGATCTAAAACGTTTCCCGGCTGCTGCAGGATGCATCTGTATTAGAAGTGTTGTTTATAGGCCTAATAGGGGCAGGCATAGTATTATATGTTTGAAATCACTACCGTGTAGGGAAACCCGTAAACTGCTAAGGCGTAGGAAGTTCTTCTGGGACTTTTACTTGTCAACAGGCCACGAGCCATTTAAGTGTAAATACAGAAACATCCGGAATATATGTTAGAAGATAACTAGATGCCGCACCACTTACGAAAGATAGTTAGCATACGATAGCCGGATCTGCCCCAAACGATTGTTTTCGTACATTAGATGGAGAACAAATCACAGTGGTGTTATTTCTCCATTGTCGTTGCACGAAAATTCAAATATGCTAGCTGAATCAAGTTTAGCCAAAGCTGAAACTTTATCAAACGATCTCGAAAAAACCTATTTCATAGGTATTGTTAACGATACTTTACATAACCAAACCACTAAAATACCAGCTATAGGACCTGTATAAATGACTGAGGAAGCTGTCCTTCAATTTGATCACTAACCTCAGACTTTGCAAAACTTCGGATCTTGGTTCGTTACATCCATGATTGTTATCAAATCCAGAGGACATTATTTCAGGACCGCTCACGATGCTGTTCAATATATCCGTTTTCCACGATCGAATCCGTAGGGACTGGATAACTTGTAGTTAGTCCTATGAGTAAATATGAAAGGAGACAGATCACGTCTAACTACCGACTTGACATTTTAACCAGTATAGTAATTAAGGTACTTTAAAAAAATAATTCGGGCTAAGTTACTAGATTATACAGAATCATTCAGTTTGTTAGCTGCTGAGCAACATGGTTTCGGAATAAGCATTCGTGCTTGACCAACTTGCTAATTGCGGTAAAGGATTAGACTGCAGTTCAAAATAACTTTTTCTGTCGATGTGTTATTCATAGATTTTGGCAAAGTATTTGGTAATATTTCATACTTTGGGCCTATGCAGAATATTCCAAGCTTTGGGATAACATGTGCCGTACACGAACGGATGGGAAACTTCCTCTGTGGTCAACTACAGAGAATACGGGTAAATGAGGCACTATATAAATGGGAGCCTGTCAAAAGTGATATGCCCGAGACACCTTAAGTTTTCCATTTTCTTCTCTACGTCAGTGAATTACCGCGACTGTTTAAGTCATTGACATTATTGTTATTGGCATTCGGTATCTTTTATAATGTTTTATGTTAGTATGTCTTAGATTTTTGCTCCTTTCAGAACTAATCATCTCCAAGGTCAGAGCAAGAAGGTTCGAAAACCTCGATCTCATAAACTCAGAGTGAGGTTCCGTTTTTGTCATCGAGTAGTCAATGACTGGGACACCTTACTCGAACAAGTGGTATCAGCACCATCAGCGAACATTTTCAAGAAGAAGCTGCATCTTTTTAGAAAGCAAGCTGCTAGGATTAACACAGGTCTACGGACTACTATCCTTATAACTGAAGACTGAATCGACTTAATTCGTTCTACAATTTGCTCGAAAATATTTGTCGACATTTGTAGTATATTCTTCAGAATCAGATGGCTATCATGTGGACACGGTAAGTTGGTAGTGCCGGTTTTTTTATTTCCGGCCTTAAAATCTACTCTTGATTTCTAGTTATTTTCGTATAGATAATGATATAGGCTATTGTGTACTTGAAGGCGATTTTTCATACTAATTACATATTTATACGTAACCCACATATCTCTCACCACCTGTCAACGTTCTTGGGTTCAGCTTATTATAATGCCACTTATTTAATCTTTAGTGTTGTGTCGGGTCTGCAATCGTGCTCTGAAAAAAATCAATTTTATTTTGGAAAAGTGATGATTACTCAACGGGGAAAAAGTCAGGTATTGAAAAACACTGCGTAATAATCCAGTAAACGATGAACAGTCTTCAGTATAGGTAATTACCTACTTGATAGGTAGTATAAACAAAATATTATGAGGCTGTAATAATCGCTAATTAATAGTTGTTAAAATATCTGGAAAGGATAATAAAAAGTAGATTCGGTAAAATAAGAAAGGTTGAAACCGTTGTAGAATAAGGGTTTGAGCTTAGTGGTTTTGTATATTGAGCTTAGGTTTGAATTGATGAACAGCTAGAGACTCTGCTGTTTATTATTTTTCTGTTTATTTTCCTTCGAAACAGGTTCTCCATTTTGAATGGATGATTTTGAAGGAGGTCTCTGCTACAGCTAGTTGGCCAGAATGAACTAGTTGAGCTTTTACTGACTTCTGTATTCTGTAATGTTCAGAAATGCTCTCTGTTAGAGTCTGCTCTGTGTGGTTGATATCATTCGTCAGTTCACCTGCTCATGTGGGGGTTTATTATTTATTTATTTATTTAACTTATTATTTGAACACATAAATATTGGTACAAAGGGGCACCGAATACAGGTGCACCACATAAGTCACTTGATTTGTGTGTGAATTGTGATACTGCCCAGGTGCCGAGACTGAAGCAGGTGGTTTTATTAGGGGGCACGCCCGGAGCCTTCGACCTAAAGGTCTGATCCACAAGACAATGGAGCGACGTCAAGAGATATAGTCCCATTGTAGTCGCCGATCAACGATTTATTCATACAACATTTGTTTCTTCAGGATACTGGAGCCCATGTGCACCATTGGTTTGGAACCAGGGTTTTCTAACTCCCCTAGGTGGATCCTCTGTGTCTACTATCCTGTTCAGAGCGCTGTATGCACGTGGCCATGTGAGAGCATTTCGAGAGGGAGAGCTGACTCTCCCCATCTAAGGCCATACCAGGACATTTGGTGACCACGAATGTCATTAAAATTTGGTTGCGCAATATTACAAATTGGTTGGATTTAAACTAACAAACAATTCCATGCCAGCTCAGTGATCTAAATATTAAGAGCTCACTACAAGACGCGTGGGTCCTGGGTTCTGTACTTAGTAAAGTGGTGGACACACGCTGCTGGAGATTCCATACTAGGTCAAAACGGTTATCCAGTGCTTTCCGGCCTTCAGCGGTTTCATAATTAAGGTCAATCCCCAATGTAAACTATTGCACTCAGAGCTAATTAGCTTTATCCAATCGAATACTAAAATCCAATTCAGTGCCATCATATGTTTGTTTGTGGCTTTTAGTATCACCATCTTGATGAGAATACACATTAACTTTATAAAAGTGTAAGGAAGTTCAGTTGACCTTCTACACCAAAATTATCTAGACTAATTTTCTATGTCATATAGTTGTCTGTTATCGAGCCATTGAGTTAAGAGCTGAATACGTAAGCTTGGTGAATCACATAGATGTTTTGGAACACCATAGTCACATATCTACTACGACACTTGTTTATAACAAAACTTACAGGGTATATGTTTAATTTATCTGAGAAAATGGTACTTTGAATGTCGTGACATATTACTTTGGTTTAACTTACATCAAACTAAATTTGAATTTTAACCTAACAGCATGTGTTAACCCACTTTACATTGTATAGAAGAAAACTTCGTTGTTACATGAACCAGTCACTTTTCATCTACGTCTTCATTTTATAAACATTTTAGACAAGCCAATGAAAAGTTTTATAACGACAATATTGTGCAGGATCATTTTGAACCCAACCACACATACTTTATTTATTTATTTAAACACATAAATATTGTACAAGGAAGCACCAGATACATATGCGCCACACAAATCTCATTCGATTTGCGTGAGGGCTGTGATACTGCCAGGTGCCCAAACTGAAGCAGGTGGTTTTCTTAGGGGGCCCACACCTGGAGCCTTTGACCTAAAGGTCTAACCCACAAGGCAGTGGAGCATCGTGAGGAAATGCAGTCTTATGGTAGCCGGTGACCAACGATTGGTTCATACGCTATTTGTTCCCTCAGGATACTGGAGCTCATGTGCACCATTGGTTTGGAATCAGGGTTTTCCAACTCCCCTAGGTGGAAACTCCACATCCATCAACCCGGTTAAAGCGCCAGATATTCGCTTTTCGTTCTCTCAGTTTCGTAAACAACAGTAGTGCCACGAGAAGGTAGTGAGTAGGACTTCCTTGGCAGAGGCTATGTACGAGTGGCCATGTGAGAGCATTTCGAGAGGGAGAGAGAACTCTCCCCACTCTCGGCCGTATCAGGGCATTTGGGGGCTTATGGTGTACTAAATTTTTTACACCTATATTCTATTAATGATAGCGTAATCAATGCATCGGGACTAGTTCTAAATATTTTCAAGAAGTAAAAGGTGCTATTCTTCACATTACAACGACACAAACTTTTCGCTCATCTATTTCCAGTCTGTTTTAATGTATTTGGCTAATAATATACAATCCTATAGAAAATTAAACAACACAGTTGGAAGGAGAATACTTTCTATTCTCCGTTCATGTTATTAAAAATTTTCACGTTTGCTTTGCATTGTATGGACAACTTAGCCTACTGCACATTTTTGCCGTGCTCTATGTTAATTGTGACTGACTACGACCTGGCTGTGTCTGAACGTTTTTATCGTATTTTTTCAATGAAGAAATAATTATCCTTATCACCTTTAATTAATTCTCAACATATTAATAATTTTTGGATCTGCTTTTAAAAATTTCACCTTCATTAGGCATGGCAGTAATCACTATTATTTTTTATTTAAGTCACTATCAAGTCGACCCAAAGGTTGAACTATTTTTACTTCTCGATCATTGCCAAATTTAGTTTCTAATTTGTGGGGACCTGAATATCTTATATTTAGAAAAACTCCAAAATGTTTTTTATTAATTATCCCACTTACTTTCTCTTACCAGAGCCGAAAGGCATAAATGGATGAGCCTTCTGTTTATTGGTGCGGTTGGCCTCTATGCTTCTAGGGCAGTAATGCCGATTACTTCCGTTGCTATTGCCTCAGAATTGAATTGGAATCGTAAGGAAATGGTAAGTCCAAAGTAAGTTTCAATAAAACTGGCAATTCTTCATATATGTTTGTAAGGTTTCAATTATCTTCGCAACCAAACTGATGAATTGCTGGCGTGTTCGACTGTTTAACCTCCTTACAATTAAAAAATAAGACCTTTCGGTTGTTGTAGGGTGGTTTCAATCAATTTGGATAACCCAAAAACGCTTGGTGAGAAAATCACTTTTAAACATTTGGATTACTTGTAGTTTTATCATCTAAAGAGTAGAAAAATTGATCCTCAAATATGATGGTCAAACCGAACAGTGAATTTCTTCCTTCTGACAAAAGTACCATGTGGGCTATTACCTTCAGTTGGCGAGCTTCTCCATTCTAGTGCTGGAAACCCTAAAGCCTATTCTCTTTACCGAACCATCACTCTATTGTTTAAAGTTTTTGGTTATGAATCACTTATTTTTAATTTTCGGTTGTAGTTTATCTGTCAAGGCTTAGTCAGTTTATTAGCTACACTCGTCTTCACAAAGTGGGTATGGCTAAAAACGAGAGGCACATTTCTTTGCTTGACTGATAGGTAATGCGATATAATGCATCCATCTGAGTTGGACAACTCAGATTCTAGATTGGTTGTGCATGCAAACTTCAATAGTCCCAAGGGACGAATTGCTCATTAGTTCTGATTTCAATCAGCAACTCACATCTCTAGAAATTTCTGTCGTACTTGAGTAGTTTTCATTTTACTGTATGTGATATCTGCTTCAGATATTTTGATCAAAATTTTTACGAAATAAAAGGAATGTAATTCATAATTAAGGCAAATATATCATTGTGTTTAATAAAATATCCTCGCTACTATGAATTTAATGCCGTTAGTGTCTTACAACAGGGTTACCAGACAATGGTCTAAAGCAGCTTCTTCTATGTGATACCACTTTTTCTACAGGGTTTCATGATGGGCATCTTCTTTTGGGGCTACGCTGTTACACAATACTTGGGGGGTTACTTGAGTGATGTGTTTGGTGGAGAAATTGTAATTGCAATCAGTTCTCTTGGTTGGTCTATACTAACCGTTTGCTTTATATGGCTGCCAAGCATCAATCTTGGCTCAAATGATATATATGGGCTTTTCATAATTACTCGCTTCTTACTAGGGATATTTCAAGGTAAGTTTTATGTGTCTATTGTTTCGCCATGCGTTTAAAAGTAGAAGTTTTAGAACGCAAATGTTTAAGTTAGCCCATCTTACATATTATTCTATTCGATTGTTCTGTTTAGTGCTTATACCTTTTTAATGTCAGACGTTTATTTGCTTACTTCTAAAATACATTCTCTGTTGTAAATAAAGATTCATAATTAAATAGTGCATTTCCGTTAAATTTTTCATACCGTTATGCAGATATTCCATAACTTATGTATTAATATAATATTGATATTTTTCTATTTACCAATCGGAACAGATCATTTATACTGTTGTCACCTGTTGGGTGTCTTGGATAAAAGTATACATGTCAAAAGTGATCCACTGCCACTAGATACGGAAGCAAACTAAGCGAAAGCTTCTTTTATTCAATTCAGAGCGATTTCAATCGTTTAATCTCTTTGTTACAGGTTGTGGTCTGTGCACAGTTATAGCCCGACCGTTACTGCTACCTTGACGTGGTGGTCGGGCTTGCCTATCGTGATGAAGCAATCGAGCTATGCTGGCTGGAACAATCGTTCCTCGAGATCCTACCATGCCAGACAGGTCGGTTGAAGAGCAGTGAGACTAAAAGCAGCAAACCCAAGGTCCGAAGGCGAAGTCGTACTGTTGACTGTACAGAGGTGTGACAGCAGTAAGGTGTTTCCTTCAGACAACCAGCATGACAGCGATGCTGCCTTCCCACAAGGAGGGGTGGGGTTAGAAAAGGTCGACCCTAAAAATGCACACCTCGCCTTATCCCACGGATATCCGTCTCCGGCGGTAAGGTTTTTTGAAGAACGGAGCTAACACAAAAACTACCCACAAAAAGTTCTTGTGTGACCGACCTCAAGCAGTTGTACCTTGGGCACTGCGGTCACACTCTCAGGTCATTAAGACCACTTCTAACCCAATTTCCTTTTCAGGTACCTCTCAAAGAACCCTTCCACGGTGTGGGCAACCGGGAAGTGACAACTGCCCTCATACCTCTAACAGCACTCAAGACCACTGTATTCATAATTAATCTCCTTCTCCAATTCCTACTATTCCTTCTACCTTGACTTTCAACACTAAACTTCCTGTTCCGGTTTCCTCCTCAAGTGTCGCCATGGCCAACGATTCTAGTGCGCGAAACGCTGTCCCAGGTCTACTAAAACCTAGCTCCAAACTACACATTGGAGTCTTCAACGTACGTACTTTAAGTCAAATCGGTCAACAGGCCTCCTTAGCTAAAACCCTAGAATCTCGTACCATTGATGTATGCTGTGTCTCCGAAACACGCATACAGGATCCCAGTGTGGTCATTCGCTTGACCTCACCTCGCCAAAATGGAGAGCCAACGAAATACATCCTCCGTGTATCTGGCGACCCGACGGCTAGTTCTCGTGTACTTGTAGGTGTAGCCATAGCACTTAGTACAAGGGCAGAACAAGCACTATTAGAATGGATCCCCGTTAACAGTCGCCTGTGTTTTGTCCGGTTAAATGGCTCCGTAAGAACTCGGAAGGATAGGGACACACGTCGTTGTCTTTTCGTCGTTTCTGACTACGTTCCCACTGACTGCAGCCCGGGAGAAGTGAGTGATGACTTTTACAAAAGGCTCTCTGAACTTCTTCCAAAAGCTAAGCGCTCAGATATAGTAGTCGTAGCGGGTGACTTTAATGCCCAGGTAGGCAGCTTAAATCAAACAGAAAGACATTTAGGTGGGTGTTTTAGTATTCCGGCTCAACGAACCGATAATGGTGATCGTCTGTTGCAACTATGCTCAGACAATCGTTTATTTCTAACAAGCACTAATTTTAAGCATAAGGAGAGACATCATCTAACATGGCGACCACCTGCACCAAACCAACGATGGACTCAAATAGACCATATTGTCATCAGTCATCGTTGGAGAGGCTCAATAGAAGATTGTCGCTCGTATTGGAATACTTGTTTAGACTCTGATCACGCTTTAATACGAGCGCGCATTTGTCTGCGCCTCAATGGACGCAGGAAAAGTACACTAAGAAGACCCATTAGGATTGAACTGGAGGACGAGAAAGCCAAATGCGAATTCCAGAAACAACTGAGTTCACATCTAGGCAGTTCTGTAAACAAGACTGACCCAGATACTGCTTGGAAAGACATACGAACAGCTGTGGAAACAGCAGTAACATCTATTAGTTATTTAAACCATAGGGCTCCAAAAAACCAATGGATTTCTTCTAAGTCTATTTCACTGATGGATTCGCGTAAACTCATCCCATCAGGCTCTGAACATGACGAAGAGCGTAAAGAAATCAGATCTAGGTTAACTAAAAGTCTAAGGAACGATCGTGAGCAGTGGTGGGCAACGAAAGCAAAAGAGATGGAAAAGGCAGCGGCTGTAGGGAACACCAGGCAACTATTCAGACTAATAAAAGAAACCGGAATTAAGAAGTCAAGTGTAAATGAGACAATCTCGGAAAAGGATGGAACCCTTATCTGCTCTCAACCCAAACGTTTAGAACGATGGGCGGAACACTTTAAGGAGCAGTTTAGCTGGCCTTCAGCTACTGCACAACTACCCACTACTCCTAGAAAACCTGAATGGAACATTGAAGTAGGCCCCCCGACCCTACTTGAAGTTCAAAAAGCTATAAGTAATCTGAAACGAGGAAGAGCAGCTGGTCCAGATGGATTGGCTCCAGAGGTCTTTAAATATGGTGGTCCAATTTTAGCGATTAGGTTGACTAATATTCTGGCTAAAATCTGGGAGACGGATGTAATCCCATCCGACTGGTCACAATCACTGATTGTCCCAATATATAAAAAGGGGTCAAAATCATCCTGTGATAACCATAGAGGGATTAGTCTGACCAACATAGCGTCTAAAATACTAGCCTCAATAATTATCGAGCACCTAACTAAGACTTGTGAACTGCAAACACGAGAAAATCAGGCTGGCTTCAGACCTGGTCGTGGCTGTATCGACCACATATTCACCATTCGTCAAGTTTTAGAGCACAGACACGCTTATCGGCGTCCGACAATGATAGTTTTTCTTGACTTGAAAGCAGCATTTGACTCCGTAGACCGAGAGGTTCTGTGGCAGTGTCTGTCATTGAAAGGTGTACCTGAGAAGTACATAAACCTTGCGAAGGCTCTTTACTCGAACACTATTAGTCGAGTGAGAGCTTATGGCGAACTGTCATATGATTTTACAACCTCAAGTGGTGTCCGTCAAGGCTGTCCACTATCCCCATTTTTGTTTAACTTCATTATAGACCTGTTGCTGGTAATAACAGTCTCTTCGACTGAATTTACAGGAATTGATCTCCTACCAGGGGGACCACTAAGCGACTTAGAATACGCAGATGACATAGTCCTGTTTGGTTAAGACGCTGGCAAAATGCAGAGTCTTCTGTTGGAACTCAGTAATAATGCCAGGATATTTGGGATGCGTTTCTCCCCATCCAAATGTAAATTGTTACTCCAGGACTGGCCTGCGTCAACACTCGAACTAAGGATAGGGAGTGAAGTAGTCGAACGCGTCGACAACTTCACTTATCTTGGAAGTCTGATCAGCCCTAATGGGTTGGTGTGTGACGAAATCTCAGCACGGATTCGAAAAGCTCGTTTGGCTTTTGCCAACTTACGTCACCTATGGCGAAGACGAGATGTCCGTCTATCAAATAAGGGACGAGTATACTGCGCAGCAGTTCGCTCTGTTCTACTTTATGGCTGCGAAACATGGCCATTAAGAGTAGAAGATACTCGTAGGCTACTAGTATTTGACCACAGATGCCTTAGAAATATTGCTCGCATCTGCTGGGATAACCGGGTAAGTAACAGTGAGGTTAGACACAGGGTATTATTATTATTATTATTATTATTATTATTATTATTATTATTATTTAAACACATATATATTGGTACAAAAGGGCACCAGGTACATATGCGCCACACAAAATAATGAAAGTAGGTAGATAAAGGATGAAAAGATAAGGCGGGCTGAAATGTACAACCAGAAGATTCTTTCAGTTAGGAAAGTTAGAACCATTCTTTATGTAGAAAGTAAAAGAAGGTTGCAGCAGGATCGCCACTGGCTTCTATTCTGAGCCATATCCGATAACGTCTCTAGCCACTGTGTTGCACTATCTCTCGAACCCCAACCAGGGAGTCGTGAAGGACCAACGGAAGCTAGCCCTTTGTAGCTCTCTTTCATGCCACGACACCATGTCATACACTGACCTCCTCTCCGCTTTCTCCAACCAGTCCCAGGGTCGGCAAATAATGCACGACGCGGAAGTCTCTGGGACGACATTCGTAAAACATGTCCGAGCCACCGAAGTCGGTGTTTCAAGATGGTGACACCAATTGAATTATCGTCTCTGTGCCCGAACACACGATGCCGAACCTCTGCATTACTAACATGGTGTTGCCACTGGATGTCAGCAATCCTTCGGAGACAACGATGATCGAACACAGAGAGACGTCTAACATCCTCAACTCGGAGAGGCCAGGTTTCACAAGCATAGAGCAAAACTGCTCTCACCGACGCGTTGTAGATCCGACCTTTTACAGCCAGACTAACATCACGAAGGCGCCAAAGATGGCCCAGATTGGCATAAGCCGATCTGGCTTTCCTTATACGTGCATCAATCTCATCACTCACGCCACCACCAGCACTTATATAGCTACCTAGATACACGAACTTCTCAACTACTTCGATCTGCTCACCATCCAAGGTGAGTACAGGATTAGAATCCTGCCAGTCTTGTAGAAGTACTTTGCACTTGGAGGGTGCAAAGCACATGCCGTACCTGCGGACACTGATTGCCAACTGATTAAGTGCTGATTGCATGCCTTGGGCATTATCGCACAGTAAGACAATATCATCCGCATACTCAAGGTCGAGAAGTCGTTCTCCAGGCAACATATCCACACCGCCATTACTTACATCCATCAGAGCTGTTTCTAGGATGTTGTCGATGGCAAAGTTGAAGAGGAATGGGGAGATCG